TTTTTTTTTTTTTTTCGAAATGTTAGAAGCTTATGTTGTTTTTGTTGGATTCAGATTCTTTATAGTTGGATCAATTTTCTTTTAAGAATTTTTATATATTAGATTTATTAAATGTTATTACAATTTTACCATAAAAATTACTATAAATAATGACATTTTTCAAAACAAGATTTTTATCACTTCAAAGCTTTGTTGTTTGGGTAGATTAATGAGGAGAGATAGAAGAAAACTATTTGAGAGATACGTGGAAGAAAACAAATTCGTAAGGAATGGTATTTAGAAGATGTGAAATATTTTTGTTCATATATTTGTATTTAATTAATTAAATATTAGTTACTGATTGAAAATATAAAGATATGATGCGATTTGTGTATTACTAATTTGACAGTCTTTTAGGTAGTTCATTTTTTTTTACAAAACCACTCGTCGTTTTAGAATATAGTATAGAATAGATAGATAAATTTGCTCCAGAAAATAGTAGATAAATTTGCTCCTGAATAGATAGTTAATTTGACTTTTTGTTTTCAAAAATAATAATAAAAAAAAATTGCTCCAGAGATGTCCAATAAGGAACCAAGGATAAAAGAATTTTCATTTTCCCATGCTGAAAATAGCTGAATCATTATGTACGTTCACATTTTGAATACAAATGAACAGTTACTCCTCATATTTGGTGAGACATTGTTCTATCGGTATTGTCCCTAAAGAACTTGATATATCATATGTGACAAACTGCATCTACATACAACAATAGTAAAACAAAATAAGAAAGAAACTATACATTGCAACGGTCATAGCCAGAGAACCATGACGATGGCTCTTCTGCAACACCATAAGATGGAGCAAATTTCTCCCCACAGTGCTCATCAGTACTGCCCCTATTCCTATCAGCAGCAAATTCTTCTTTAGGCAAGTGAGGGACTGCCAACAATGAATTCAAGTTCTCTATCTCTTTGTAAGCACTCTCAGTCTCGTGTTCTGCCATTACAGCTCGTCTCTACACATTAAGTGAAAAGTTGAGCTTATCTCATTGTTGTCACCATTGCAAATAATGTCGACTAAATGATCAGCACAATATCATTGAAGGAAAAGTTAATGATAAAATTTGGAGATGTTCATCACGAACCAATAAGGAATTTTTTTAACAGACGTTCCAAGGAAATAATATATTCATTTACAATCACAAACCAGATTAGTACAAAAGTTCAGGAAGCGGAATCGTCATCATCCCATTAAACATAGAATACAAAATGCGAAGGTAGTGTCAAGAAAATTTTAACGACATTAACTACTTTCTTGGTTAATGATTCCGGACCTACACAGTTTACTAGAATTTCATTCAGGCTTGTGTCCCATAAAAAAGGAGTCATCCAAAGCTGTTATATACATTTCTGTTAGTCACAAGAGATCAAGCAGGATCGAAAAAATGAATCTTCATATCCAAACAGTAAAATATACTCCAGAAAGGAAGATATAAACTTCTATAACTTGATAATTTCGTAAATGTGCGAGCTAGAAAATACTCAATATTATGTGTGTAATCAAACAAGGAAACATACATTTATTTATGGACTATTTTCAGAGGTGTCATAAGGATGAGCCAAGGAGAGATCCTAGAACAAGCATTAGGAAGTCCTAATGAGATACCAATGTAGACAGGAGTACAGCATGGGACACGTGTCATATGTCAAAAATATGTCCAAGCAGTAAAACACATGAAATTATAAATTTCATCGAAGTTAGTTTTTGTGACCATATTAAAAAACTTTAATCAAGATTTGGAATATAAGTTATAATGGAACATCAATTAGGCGCTTTATTAATCAAGTCCAAGCTCACCTCTGCAGCAGCCACTACTTCTTCGGCTTCTTTCAGTCGAACAAGTAATTCCCCAGCAGCCTGAACAGCTTCTGCAGTATCCCTCAGTTGGGCCTGAAGTCCTTTATTTTCATCTCTGAAGTATCTTCTCTCTTTTTCCCTTTCCACTTTCAGAACTGAGATTTCTGCGGCTAAGGCATTTATAAATTTAGATTCTGCACCTCTTACACCTGCCTTTGCAGCAGCTTCCTTCACATCATCAATACCATCTTGAATATTCCTATGTCTGGCAAGCAGTTGAATGTGTTTTTCTTCTAGCTCAGCATATTGTTCAAGCATGCGTGCATGACCTTCCATTGCCATCTGCATTGCTTCTTTAAGCTCTTCGGAACACTTCTTTTCTATGTCCAGCTCTTGCTTTTGCCTTTGAACAGTAGATCGATTGGCTTCAAGTTCTGTTTTAAGTTCCTCCACTAGGGAAATCCATTTGCTCTCGGCTTCAGTCCACTGGATTCTCTCCTGCCCAAGTCTCTCTTTGGCATTATCTATTGAACCTGAATTAGTGGTGTAAGTAGAAGCTGCTGCACCTGGCTCATGTGAAGTTGTTAGTTCTAAAAGAGGGGTTTGTCTTTTTGACGTCTTCCCTGAAGAGTCCAAGTAAGATTGCAGCTGAGTTCTTAAATCTTGTAATTCTTCCAACAGAACATCCCTCTCCCCCAAGTCAAAGAAATTTTGATATCTTTCCAATTCATCGCGAATTCTTTTCAGTTCAATTTTTGTTCTCAAAACATCAGGATGGTTATCATATTGTTCCTGAAGAATCTGCAATTTTCATATGTGAATTAGATAGATGAGCAGAAACACTTTTTTTATACCGATAAAAAAAAGACACACTTTTTTATGAGATTTTAAAATTATGTATAAGTTATACCTTATGTTCATCAGTTAGGGATACCAGCTCCTCCTCCATGAACTCCTCAGTAGGTAATATTCCATCCATCAGGCGCTCAAGTCGAGCAATTTTACCTTCACGAATTTGACCAATTATTGAGTTACACTCTCTCTCATGTTTGTACTGCTGGGCCTGTAGTCATGCAAGAACATAAATCATAAGAAAATTAACTTTCAATTCAAATAGTAGGTTGTTCCATTACTTGTCAAACTTACCAAACGAGTAAGTTGAATGATCTCATAGTTTTGTTTGGCACACATCTCTTCTAGTGCCATTTCTCTCCGAATAGCTCCAGCCAAGACCTTTTCTACTGCCTAAACAATGACATAAAGGACATGATAAGAGTTGACAAAAGGAAAGGAAGTCTCACCCATAATTAGCTGAAATGAAATACCTTTGGAACTTGCTTGTGGCACATATCATTTGAAGGGGACCCATTGACAGGGACTAACTGTAAATTTTGGGCATCATCATTTAACAGCCCCTGCTGGTCAGTCATGGTCTTGCATTTACTACATAGTTGTTCCATGGTGCCATTGTCCATTAGTTCGTCATCATAAAAAATAGTTTGGACACCAACATCAACTTTTGCAGCTGGTATAACTGCTTTAACATCTTTCGGCATGCAAGAAAACCTAAATGATGATCGTCTCAGCACAGGACTGAGGCGTTGACTCTCGATAATTTCAAGACCACGATGAAGAGTTTCAGCCAAATGACCGGTTGATGCAAAACAAGAATTGCGATTGGAGAGAGAATACAAACAGAGGTTACTAGAAGAAGGCTTTGCCATGGATGCTCTTACAGCCTTCAAGTTACTCTGAGTAGGAAAACTCTGAGAAGCTGTTACTGTTGATGAGGCCCTAAGACTTTTCCTGCAACTGTTCGGTTTTGGCGAGACACTGGGGGCAGGAAACTTCAGAACAAGGGGCAAATTAATTGGAACAATACTAAGGCCAGAAGCTTGGCCATCTTCAATGCAGTTGGTGGATTTCTCTGATGTATTCACCGTGCCCGCAGAAAGCTGAATTAGTGAACGTTGTTCCATTGGTTTCTTAGATAGGTCGCTGCCTGGCAATTTTCTAGAATCAGAGGAAGTGCATTCCTCATCTTCAGACTGTATACAATCATCATTACCATGTACTATCTTTGACCTACTTTCGTGAAACATTTCTCCATGTCTTCCCATTAGTCCATCACCAATTACACTGGATTTATCCTTTTCAACTGTTTCAACTGCTTTGTCTTCAATATTAACATCTGTACCACCAAATCCCTGTTCAGGTGATAACAGGCATTTTTCCTCAGGAGCTGCTAATATTTCCTCATCTGCATCCACTATCTCCATTTCTTCATCACTATCATCTTCAGTTATAGGCATCATTGGCCGATTCAGGCTAAATCTCAGAAGAGTCAAACTTCTCTTGGCATTCCATCCAGTAGCATAAGCCCCATTTAGACCGGTTTGATCATGGTTGTTGGCCTTCATCCTGTGCAGTTCATCTCTCAACTGCCGAATCACTTCTCTCAAGACATTTACATCTTCTTGCATTTCCTCATTAATAACAGCTTTATTCTTGATTGCTTTGGCTCGTTGCGCAAATCTTAAAGTACTGAGAGTTTCGCTCTTACAACTGCAAAATGTTATTTCAGAGTCATCATCAAAGTGTCACATAAAGAAGCAGGGAGACATGTTTATAGGAAACATAATCAGATTAACCCATTCAACTAAACAGTGCAGGAAAAATTTATTAAAACGCTAAAGGTCCATTACAAAAGTCTATACATATTACTAGACTGGACAAACTGATTTACATTAAAGGAAAAGTTAGCAACAACTAAAAGATCCTGTTTAATCGCTTCATTTTTATGCTACTACTACTCCCTCAACTTGCTTCATCGTTAACCTTTCACTCTCGGTAGCCACTCTAAGTATACACCATCTGCCATTAACTGAAGATGACTACCAAACTTCCAGAATTTTCAGTGACAAACAAGCTTATATAGCTTATTACAGACGGGGGGAGGGGGGCTAGCAAAATGTATGTGATCCTTGGTAAAGAAACATTTTTTGTTCTCTCTCTGGAATCTCTAAATGATAGGCTTTGCATATGACCTTTGAGATGGAGAAATGGCGCATATCATTGCCAACTTTGCATTTCCCCCTAGAGATTCCTGTAACAGAAAAGTCAGCTTTGAATCTCTATAAGGAATGTGCCTTTGTTTTCCTGTCTGAGAAACTTCTGCCAGAATATTAATCAAGTTCCTGCAAAGCTCAAAAAGAATCAAATTAGTCATGAATATGAGCATAGAATCACTTCAGCTATATGGAGCAAGATCAAAACATCAAACATGATTCAGTGGCAACATTAGACTTGAAATGATGAACAGCCACATAATAACGGACGACAAATAATTAGAACCAGAAAAAAATAAGTTCTAAAACCAGAATAAATAGAGGAAGAATCCAGCTCTTCATTAATGGCATAAGGATCCCAATTGCCTTAAAAACATTAAATTCTCCATAGTTGTACTAACACAAGTATAAATCATGAGCCCTGAATATTATAGCATACATAAAAGTTTACAGACAATGGTAGCAAAATATCAAATGCAGCTTACTATCCCTTCTCTCTTACCTTAATTGTTCCAAGTGACTTTCAAGTTTGACATCCACATACTCAGCAGATGATTTTCCAATCTTATACAGATATTCTACTTCTTTACTATATGTGTGAAGGTTGCATTGCGAAAAGCTAGTATTTTATCATCAGTGATTTGCACACAAAGTGGACACTTGATAGGTCGAAAAATGTGCATATTTTATATATTTAATAGTATATTTTTATACGCTTAATTTATTCGCACATTTATATTTTTCGACTTATTTATTATTTGAATGGATTCATACACATTGATATTTTTATATGTATTTTCAGTATTTTGGAGCAATTTTATGGACGACGCATCATGGGATGAAAGTTTATGTGATCAATTATCGGGCCTTCTCAATTTCCGTCAATTTAACCCCAGATGCAACATATATATTGGAATGGGCTTATATGACAAATAATTCATGATCTAGAAGTGTGGAGCCAAAATTACTTTGATTCTTGGGGAATACTTGGAAGAAGAAAATTACTTGCTGGACTTGAATTAATTAGCCGCAAGGAGAATTAGTTTACTCCTAATTGGGGTGGAATTAATTGGCAGGACTCATTTTAGGGGCTATTTACATTAGCCAGACTATTATTTACGTGAAAGAAAAAGCCGTAAGCTTGAGGGGGGAGAATAAAAAAAGAGCCCAGACGCAGAAGCTGTAGAGGAGAAAGGACTGCACGGACTAAGAGGAAGGCACTACACGAGGGAAATTTTATTCTCTCTTTTATCTATCTTTTATTTATTTTTCTTAGTATGCTAGGCTAGTATTTTTATCCAGTTTTAGGGGATGTTTGAACCCTAACTTCGATTTGTCTATGAATTGAAGGATCTTTGTTTATTGTTGATTAATCTAGACGCCGTATTTATTTTTGTTGATGAGTTGATTTACGTTATCTATGTTTAATGTTTATAAATTATGATGTTTGATTTAGTCTGGCCAACTACGTTGAATGTTCATAGTTTAATTGCTAGATTCAGGACTTTAATCCGTAATTGTTATTGTCTTGTTTCGTTAGTAGTAAACTAGGGGTCGTGCATCTCTAGGGTAGCGTGAACATAAGTTAAATGGTCCGAGCTTACGTGTCCATTGCTTAGACTGATCTATTTTCCTAGAGATTAATGCAGTGTACTAAATCTAGAGAGCTTATTCTAGGTTGTCCACTGGTTAGGTTTAGTCGAAGAGCCTATTTCGATTAAATATTCAGTAAGGGAAAATTCGGTTAACAGAGCTTGCTGTTAGCTAGGGTCGGTAATTTATTAGCAATTTAAAGAAGGCGTTGAAATTGATTAACGGTAGATTTAGATTGGGTGATAACTAAACCGAAAACTGGACTTCTCTCATTTTATTTGATTTTTATTTTATTTTATTTTGTTATTTTTATAAAACCAAACCCCCCATTTTACTGTTTTTCTAGTTTAGTTCAATTAATACCAAAATTGTCACAATTTAATTCCTGCTCCTTGTGGGATCGACCCTTACTCGCCGCTACTACTAGTTAGTAGAGGTTAGTTAAGGAAAATATTATAAATTTAAATTTGCCGCGTCGCGACGCGCGGTCAACACTCCACAAGTAAAATTTTGGCAGTGCCATAACATCCCTAAAAACAAAGAGCAAAATCATCGTGTAGAATTTGAACAAGTGGATACTCGTTGAAGAGCACAAGCAAATTGCAGCACAAAGAGGAAAATTACCACAATTTTCTGTTCACAAATTCTGAACCTTTTTCTGAGTACAATCTTAGAAGAGCACCTAAAAAGATCATTTGTGATTCATAAGTCATAACAATCTCTAAGACAAATAAAGGTAGCTCAACAGTAAACCACAACCCCATGAAATTGGTATTGCTATGAAAACATCATGGTTTAACAATTTGTTATCATGCTGTATGCATTTTGAATATACACTTTTTTCTTTTGCTTCTTTGTGCAAGCATTAATTGTTAGAAACTCACTGGAGAGACAACACCCGGTTGCCGGCGAGATCACGGCCAAAACACAAGACACAAAACAAAATTCATGCGAACACAAAAGAGCACGCTCTTGTTTGGTGCTTTTGAATTGACACTTTTTCTTATGTTATTCCGTTGCTTATATAGGGAATACAAGGAGCTAAATAAGGCCTAAAATCAAGATTATATGGAAACTATAATCAAATAAATATTCACACCTATTCTAGGGAAGCAACTAAGGAAAGCAAATAAACTAATCATAATGCACAAGGATTATATCCTATAATAAAAGATATCCTAACAATAATAAAAGATATTATAACAGTCTCCTCTAAGTCTTGTGCATATTGCTAACATTGATAAGGCCGATTCTTAGATCGCAGTTCATGGACCTTGGTCCTTCCAAGCGGCTACATCAAAATGTCGCCCAGTTGTTCTTCTCTCATTATGAACTCGACGTTAATCAAAGCCTTCCTCTGCAGACTCCCAGACAAAATGATATTTCACTCGAATGTGCTTGCTTTGTCCATAGAGTACTCGATTCTTGATTAAGGCAATGGCAGACTTGTTATCCACCCTCAGCATTAGCGCTCTTGGTGCTGATCCCTGCACCTCAGCCAGCACCCGAGCGAGCCGCAATGCTTGACTAGCAGAGTTTGCAGCTGTATTTCGCCTCACAACTTGATTGTGCCACCACCTTCTGCTTCGTTGATTACTAGGTGATCGAGATGCAGTTGAGGAAGAAAATCACTCCTGATGTGCTCTTGCTAGCATGAATGCTATCACTGAAACCCGTCAGGTGAGCTTCCTCCTCCTCCTTCCTGCCAAACCGAAGTCCACAATTCTGGGTTCCCACCACATAGCGCGTGCTTCACGGCAGGTGATCCTCACGTCGGTCTTCCAAGAACCGGCTAACATAGCCAACAACAAAAGCCTGATCAAGTATTAACTAAGTACCTCAAACTCCCAACGATGCTCCATTACGCCGTCTTGTCGACTGACGGTTTCGAGCTGAATTTTCTCAATTTCAATCGTGTCTCCATAGGCACTTGACAGGGATTGCACTCAGTCATGCAACTCTTCTCTAGAATCTTGCCAGCATAGGCACCCTGGCTAAGTGAGATTTGCTAACTATTATAGCCCAGCTCATATATACTTAAGGCCCTAAGTCTATATATATGGGTGAGCATCCTCACTTGTGAATCTCACACAAGTCCAAAACCCTAAGGTTCGTGACATGGTATCACAGCCTTACACATAAATATTTTTTTTCCGATCTCACCTCCCACATCTGTCAAATCGTCGCTGCAAGATAGACTTTCCTGCCAAGTTTCTTCGGAACTTTTTACCGACAGTCCCAAGCGTCGTGAGGGTGCGTGACTCACCGGAATTTTTTCCGGCGAACATCCGTTAGCTCAAATTTCGTTCCCGTGCTGCTAATGTTTTCAGTTTTTTTGATTTTGGAGGTTTTGGTGTCCGTTTTGTCCTTTTTCAAATCCGCCATTGTTCGTGGTTAGAGTTTTTGTACTCTAATAAGTCCCGGCCGTCGTCAATCCTGTTTTTTGTTGTTACTTGCCTATCGTGTACACCTACACTGCCCATCGCACCACCTTTATTCATACTTCGTCGCGACTCGTTGCTACTTGTTTGTCAAATCATGTCGCAACTTCATGCTATTGCTATTGATGGTCAGAATTGTGTTAAGGGGTTATGGTTTGGCTTTTCACTTGACTGGTGATGGACTGAAATGAAGGCCGATAATAGCAATGCTGCCGAAATAAAAATATGGCAAATTAATGATGGGAAAGTGATGTTTGTCATCGTCAATATTGTCAAGCAGTCCATGATTATACCTTTCTTCCTTTCGGACAGTATGTTCAAGATAGTGGTGCTTACTTGCACACCCATATGCAACAAATTCACGTGATTGAACAGAACTCCATGTCCATTGGTGAATATTACTCTGCTTTTGATCGTTTGATGGGACCACTGATCTCTATGGTACCTATGTACTCGGCATAGGAGTGTTCAACACATAAATTTGTTGAGAAGTTCTTTGTTTATCGCTTTGTCATGGGAGTCGGAGCAGAATTTGAGTCCATTCGTACACGGTTGCTTCATAACTACTCTACTCTGACCATGACACATGCATTATCTAATTTGATTGCTGAAAAGACTCGTCTCCATTCTCTGTTAGTTGCTTCGCCGTCTATGAGAGAGTATTCTGGTAACTCCTCAAAGGTCAATCTTCTCAACGTCTTAGTGTATCTAGAGGGGACTCTTCTAAACCTTGTAAGCATTACAGGAAGACCGGTTATAGTGCCGAGACTTGTTTTACTCAGCATCCAGAAATGTTGGCTGACTATCGTGCGTGTCGTGCTACTCGGGCTCGTGGTACGACTTCTGCTACAAAGGGGTTTGTTTCTGCTGCTACTACCTCTCTCGTATATGCTCCTCAACCTTGGGTCCCCGATGGTGCTTCTATTCAGACACTTGATGGCACTTCTTCCCATATCACTCATTAGGATTCTCTATGCAATTCACGTTTTTCAGTGCCTAATATCTCTTATATTCCTAAGTTATCTATGAATCTTCTTTCCGTTGGTCAGGTCGCTGATCAAAACTGTTTTGTTGGATTTGACAACTCATCTTGTTTTATTCAGGATCGTCGAAGCGGGATTGTGATTGGGACTAGCCATCGCCGTAAAGGTATCGAGTCTCTACATCTTAGACACTTTAGATCTTCCCTCTTCCACTGGTTCTACCGCTCGTGTCTCATTCGTTGCCTCGTCGAAGCGGGATTGTGATTGAGACTAGCCATCGCCGTAAAGGTATCGAGTCTCTACATCTTAGACACTTTAGATCTTCCCTCTTCCACTGGTTCTACCGCTCGTGTCTCATCCGTTGCCTCGTCTTCCACCTATCTTTCAGTAAGTGGCATCATCGTCTTGGTCATTTGAATGGGTCTCGTTTATCTACTTTGATTAGTACTAGTTGTTTAGGTCGTATATCTATTCAATATAGTTCATTGTAAGGGCTGCAAGCTCGAAAAGCAGCTGCAACTCCCATATACTACTAGTATTTCTCATTCTGTTAGATGTTTTGATCTTATTCACTCTTATGTATGGGGTTCGTTCCCTTTTCCTACAAAAAAAAGGTGGCAATAAATATTATGTTCTTTTTATTGATGATAATTCTCGATATACTTGGATTTATTTTATGAAACATCGTTCTCAGTTGTGTTCAGTTTATACAGATTTTGCTCGCATTGTTCATACTCAGTTATGTATACCTATTTGAGTTTTTCGTTTTGATTCTGGTGGTGAGTACGTCTAACAATTTTCGTCAGTTTTTGACCTCCGAGGGCACTCTTGCCCAGCTCTCCTGTCTTGGTGCACATGCTCAGCAACAGAAAGAAAACACCGCCATCTCATTGAGACTGCTAGAACCCTTCTCATTGCCTCATTTGTTCCTTCTCATTTTTGGTTTTGGAGAGAAGCAGTATCTACAACTGTTTATCTTATCAACGGACAACCGTCTTCCAAATTGTCTGGTAAATGTCCTGGTGAGCTTCTTTTTGATATTCCCCTAGCTATGATCATCTTTGGGTTTTCGGACGTACATGCTATGTAGTGCTTGCTGCTCGTGAGCGCACTAAACTGACTGCTCAGTCGGTTGAGTGCGCCTTTTTAGGGTATAGTTCTGAGCATAAAGGTTAACGTTGTTATGATTTTTCTGCTCGTTGCATGCGTATATCTTGTGATTTACCTTTTTTCGAGGATCGTCCTTTCTACTATAACCCTTCCACTCCTCCCACATCTTCTTTTTCAGAATCTACGTCATTCTTATGTCTTCCTCCTATGTCCTTTCTTGATGATGATGTCCCTGTCTATTCTCATTATTCCACTCATGATGAGCCTGTACCATCCATTTCTTATGAGCCTCCACCACCTAATTTTGATGAGCCTCCACCACATAAACAACCCATCACACAAGTCTATACTTATCGTTCCAAAGGTCACATAACGCTTCCGCCTTATTCTACTCCAATGTCCAGTCCAGATACTCCCGTCCTAGACGATTATGTTGATTATGATGTGTCACATGCTATTCCTGGAGAATCTGAGGTTGGTCAGAGATAAAATTTACGTGATCGTGCTACTATTGTGCCTCCTAATAAGTTGGGCTTTCCACGTGCGGGTGCTATTATTGATGAACCCTCAACCAATCATGAAGCTTCGAGTATTCCAGAATGGCAACTGGTATAGCCAGAGCAACTTGCTACACTTGATCATACTGGCACTTGGGATCTTGTTCTGTTACCAATGCATGACGTGCCTATCACCTGTAAATGGATCTTTAAGATTAAGACCAACTCAGATGGTTCGATTGAGAGATATAAAGCTCGTCTTGTTGCTCGAGGCTTTCAGCAGACTCAGGGGCGAGATTATGATGAGACTTTTGCTCCCGTTGCTCACATGATTCCTGGTTGTACTTTAGCTGCAGTGGCTGCTACTCGAACCTGGACCATATCTCAGATGGATGTGAAGAATGCTTTCCTTGATGGCGATTTGCATGAGAAAGTTTATATGCAGCCACCGCCGGGTGTTGATGCCGCCTATAGACATGTTTGTCGTCTTCGTCGCACATTATTACAGGCTCCTCGTGCTTGGGTTTGAGCGTTTTCTCTGTCATACGGGTTGTTGTTTCACCCCTAGTGATCATGATCCTGCTTTGTTTTTTCATCTCTCCACGTGGGCGTACACTACTTCTATATGTTGATGATATGTTGATTACGGGAGATGATGAAGCACATATTTCCCATGTCAAGAAGCAACTTGGTCAACAATTTTAGATGTTTGATTTGGGTCCTCTTAGCTACTTTTTGGGCAGTGAGATGCATTCTGCCTCGGGCTATTATCTTTCTCAGTCCAAATACATAATGCACCTTCTTCTTCGTTCCGATATTGCTGATAATTGGACAGCGGTTACACGATCTTACTTACAGCTTCGTCAAGTAATCCAACTGATCGTCGTTCTGTCACTGGTTATTGCACTTTTCTTAGTTCTTCTCCTCTTACATGGAAGTCCAAGAAGCAGGCAGCTGTATCTCGATCTAGCATAGAGGCAAAACTTCGAACACTCGCTACTACCACCTCAAAAATTATATGGCTTCGATGGTTATTAGCCGATTTTGTTATTCCATGTGATGATCCTATGCCTCTTCTTTGTGATAATACCCGAGCAATCTAAATTGTCAATAGTAAAGCATGAACTTATAAAATACATTGGTGTTGATACTTCCTTTACCCGATCTCACTGTCATCAGACAACAATTGTTTTTCAGTATGTGCTGTCCAAACCAGTGTTATCAAATTTCCGCCATGGTGGAATGGCGTGGCATGTTTGGCCTCACCGCCACCCGCTAGCCGATATACGGCAAATTTGCAGTGGCGGCACCATGGCGCCCGCAATGGACACGGCGGCCATGGCAGTATTAGCGCCTGTGGCGTGAAATGGCGGATTCTGGGCCATTTTTGGTTAAAAAACCAGGCCCAGTCCAGAAAAATAAAAAAAAAAATTAGATGAGAAGTAGAATACGATATATGAATATGATCGGGATTTTTCAGAAAAAAAAAACAAAAAAAAAACCTAACCACTGCCTTGCTGCGACTTGCGAGCCTGCCCACCAAATACCTCCGACAATCAACACTCCGGCGGCCGGCGATTGCAGCTCCGGTGAGTTCCTTCATCTTCCAACTATTTTCAGATTTGGGGAGATTGTATATTTTTTTTTTCCTGGATAGAATTATAAATTGTGCCGCTCATACCATCTTTTTTCTAGTTTTTACTGTTTCCTCGGGATCTTATATAATAATATTATTTTTTGACAAAGTTGGTTGGTGACTGAGATTTTGTGATAACTATTTAATATTTATATATTTTTTTCTTTTAAATTGGACCCTAGTAGCAGTGTTGGTTGTGCAATGGGTCCAAATAGTGCTTATTATTGTTATTATTTGTAAACTTTAGGCTATTATTTGACAATTATTTATTTCATAAATTTCAGGAAATGTCGGACGCGGTCTCTTCACGGCTCGGCAGCAGATCCAACAATACAAATGACATCGGGTGGAAATTATTCCATGCACCAAATGATGGAGATACAAACATAGTTGTTTCTAACTATTGCGACAAAATTATGAAGGGAGAAATAACAAGGGTCAAGAACCATTTGATGGGAAGAAAGGGATATGTTGCGGCATGCAAAAAATGTCCGGTGGAAGTTCGAGAAGAACTTTGGGCTTATGTGAAGACAAAAACAAATACCGGTGATACCAATTATGTTTCAATTTGGGATAGTGATGATGACACTCCCTTACCACCTCCGAGAAAGAATGCTGCTGAGTTGAAAGGTCCGATGGATCTATTTTGCCGAAAGCCAGAGATTGTTGTTAGAAAGAGGAAGAAGAAACAACTAAAACAAGTTAGCATAAGAAAGGCTTGTGACAAAGAAGCAACGGCTAGGATCCTCAACTTATTGCTCGCTTTTGGTATCACGGTAACTTGTCATTCAATCTTATCAAACATTCGTGTTTAAAAGATATGGTTGCAGGTATTGGTTCTTTTGGCCCACATTTGCGAACTGCGAGCTTCCACGAGATTACAGTTCCACTCTTAAATAATGAAGTGGATTACACCAAGAACTTGATGGAAGATCACGAGGCGGAGTGAAAGAGGACTGGTTGCTCTATTATGTCTGATGCTTGGACGGATAGGAAGCAAAGATGTATCATTAATTTCTTTATGAATTCGCAGGCTGGTACTATGTTTGTGAAGTTTGTCGATGCTTCAGACTTTGTGAAGACGGGGCAAAAATTATTTGAACTTCTCGATTCTGTTGTGAAGGAGATCGGAGAGGAGAATGTTGTCCAAGTTATCACGGACAATGGAAGAAATTCTGTGGCCGCCAGCAAGTTGTTGGAGGGCAAAAGACCACATCTTTATTGGACTCCTTGTGCGGCTCATAGCATTGATCTTATACTTGAAGACATCAAGAAACATCCTTTGATAAGGAAAACCATCAAAAGTGGAGGGGTTTATCAATGCCCACTCAAGTACCTTGAGTTTGTTGAGACATTTCACAAACAAAAGGGAATTGGTGAAACACGCGATCACCCGATTTGCTACATCATTCCTCTCGTTAGAAAGAATCCATCAAGAGAAAGCAAATCTTTGAAGGATGTTTACTTTTGCTTCTGACAAGTGGAACACGAACAAATTGTCGAAGGATGCCAATGGAAAGGAAGTGATGAGAGTTGTGCTCTGTTTGTTATGTTTATGTGGTGTTTTATCGTGTTTTATGTGCTTTAGTTAAGCCGTTTTTAGGTTTGGTTTTGTGTCAACCGGTCCATTTTATCCTATGTTATGTGTTTATTCTCGATTTGTGTTTTTGTATTTTGGCGTATTTTCTTTTGTCTTTTGTGCAAATTTTAAGTCCATTTCAGAGGACGAAAGAGAAGAATCGAGCCAAGTTCCAAGAGCACGAGCCTTTCCAAGAAGCCCCGATCCGTTGTTGAGTCATTCCCGTGCACGAGATCTGAGAGTTCAGTCCGCCTAACGAACGTGTTCGCCACCTAGCGAGTGTGAACAAGACTCATAAGACCAGTCCGCCTGCGAACGTGTACGCCGCCTAGCGAGTGTGCACAAGATTCATAAGACCAGTCCGCCTACGAACGCGTTCGCCGACTAGCGAATGTGCACAAGACCACAAGACCAGTTAGCTACCTAGCGAGTGCTAACTTATTAAATGTGTGTTTGTGGTGTACCTATAAATAGACATTGTGCTTTGTATTTTGGGAACGACGCCCTCATTTCCAAACTTTTAAGTTGGGAAATCCTCTCCATTTTCTCTCTTTTCTTTTTATGTTTTGGTTTGGAGATGCATAACTCATTTTTTCGGCGAAATTCTGGCAAGTTTATTTTTATCCAAGTTTCAAGCATTCTTCATTATTTTCGTCCTAGCACGCGATAGGAGAGTAAGTACCTTGTTTAGGACTTACTACTTCGAGTTTGTTCTTCGAATTTTGTGTTTATGCTCGTTTCTAGGGTTTTTACTTTATTTTCATTGCTTGCTTCGTGTGTTAGGAATCAATACGTGTTATCTAGTATAGGTCTCGACTTTGTTCAAAGCGTGAATGATTTAGTGTAGAAAGCTCATGTTCGGTTACCTAGGATCGCTATGCTCGCATGTTTTCTTTTGTTTATTTTCGTTTTTCTTGAGTTATGGATACTCCGTGCAATCAAAGTTTCGATCTTCCTCTCTATATTTGCATTTTTCATCATTTGCTCAAGATTCTTAGTTTAATTTTGTGCAATCAATCTCCATCAAGCGAGTAGAATGTGTAGGACCCTAATTTTGGTTATGTGACTTTGACGACTAGGTAGTGAACGAAGCTCCGAACAGCATTCCTTTGAGAACGACCCGAGTCGGGTAGCTCAGATTTCGGTTACCACATGCCAAAAAATACTACAAACAAAATCGCGCCGTTGTCGGGGAAAGCGAGTAGGACGCCAAGTTTACTATCTAGTTGTCGTTTGTTTCCGTATTTTTCTTGCTTTTTGTGGATTTTGCTTGACTTTGCGTGTTTCTCTTGATTATTTTCCTTGTTTTCTATTTTGTTGTTATTTTCTATGTATGTCTTTGTAAATATCGTGTCGTTTTAGTTGCATTTTTGTGTTTTTCGTTTCTTGGTCTCGTTTGCCTTGGTTGTTTTGTTTTTCTTGTACGAGGTATTTCGCTTGAGGTGTTCCTATAAATCCATATGGTTATTCTTACGCCTGTAGCTCGTCGCGTGGATACCCCGACAACTATCATGAGGAGATGTATCCCTATAGAGGGCCGCCTTATCCGTATCTGAGTCATTCTTATCCGTCATCTCAAGTTGATTTTGGTTATTACTCTCCGGGTCATGATGAGACGCATCACTACTATCCACCGCCTCTCATTTATTATGAAGAGACACCTCCTCCCGAGCCAACTCGAGAAGCTTATCGAGTCAATATAGACGAGATTATGGAGCATTTAGAGAAGTGCAATCGAAACCTTCGTTCTTTAATGACTCCCACATCCGAAAAGGAAGAAACCGAGTCCTTGGTTCCATCCTCTCCATCATTTGAGCCTACCGAATGTCACGGAAATGTTTTGACGAGCATTCAAGAAGCACTTGCAAACCTCATGTCGATCATTGAGGAGTTTCATAGTTGGAGGAGTATTCCCATTCCATCAGTTCTTCAAGCAACACTCGTGAAGTTCGACTACCGTGTTTTCTTTCCTTGATTTGGACGCATCTCATATTCCACTCAGTAGATATTGTTCTCTATCGGCAAGGGTTATTCAAGAGAACACTCAGTTAGAGGGTGAGTTTCGAGCTATGGTGGATCAGTTTACCTCTTTGAGAGAGATGAGCCTCACTCTCGTTTATGATGGAACACAATC